GTATGCTAACCCCTTAAAGCTGTGAAAATTTGGTGTTAATCCAACGACAATAAGTATACGTTATTTTTTGTTAAAGACGTTGTATTTTGAAAAACATAAACCCCTAGAAAACGTCGATGAAGTCACAGCAAAGATTTTCTACCTTGTTTATCTGCACAAGCGATTTGTTTTCCCATCAAGGTCTGTTTTAACATGTGTAGGTGCATCCAAATGTGTAAGGCTATTGGAAACCCAAAAAAATTAAAGGATGGGATAGCTATAGTTCGATAAAACGGCAGATGAAAACACTAAAATCAATGATTTTTTTCAGTGGCTGTGTGACCATTGTGTCTGACACATTCATATGCAAATGACTAATCTGTTAAATAAACAGGGGCGGAGACAAACCACTCAAATGTTCGGAAACACTCATTGTGTGTCAGATAGCTACTGATAACACATCCTAACATTGCTTTGTCTTGAGTTAATCTTTGAAACATATAGGCACACAAATTAAACCTGTGTTGTTGATTTTAGAAAACACTACTGAAGCTACCTTGCTTCCCTTCAGAAAATCTACATTTTAACCAACTTACATGACATTCTAGGTTACGTTGACTTTGTCAGATGAAAGTTTATAGTGCATTTCATCAATTAATAAATAAATGTGAAAATCGGAATTTTCAACACAAATAATAGTCTCGCTACCTTAAAGGGTGGTAGTCGTCGCGCCACACATGCTCAAGATATATGGGTCTCATTTAAACAAAGATGGCGACTTTGACTATTGCGCAGATCAACGAGTACAAACTGAGACGTTACCAAACTCTATTTAAGTATTATTTAGGTGATTGGAAGGTATCGAAATACTCACTGGCGGTAATTGGTGCAAGTTTCACCCAGGTCAAACCTCATACTTGGGATTTCCATTTGATGATCGCATTGGATTGTGGGAAAATCAATGTTTATCAACACACATGTCGCACATGCGCAGCGCGACGACCACCAACCTTTAATCATTGTTTTGTTTGTCAAAATATTTCGTAATCACATGAAAATTTTGGAGTTTCACTAGACAGTGTATACGTCACGTCATAATCCCGAATCTATAAGAACTGATTTAAATCTAAGTGCTAATATTTTGCTTTAGGCATGATGGACAATTCAAGTGCTACTGGTACTGGTATGTTATGATATAACCTAGTTTAGTTATTAAAACAAACGCATGTACAATAGAAAACTTAGCACGTTGTGTTGATTTTTACCTGTATGCGTGACTTTTGACTAAACTATTCAGTCAATAAATTGCAATATGTATATGTGTTTTAACGTGTTATTTGTTATCTGTAACGTACGATATCCAAAAAATAAAATGCGAATAATATAACCAATGGTAGACCCCTATCAATCAACTTTTTAAACAAGAACAATGGTTGACACGGTCAAATGCCTTGGTGGCATCTAAAATGCATGCATATATTGTTTTATGTCTTGTAGTTCAGTGGTGGCTGAACCTAAGTTGATTTGTATCGTTTCTAGTCAGGTTTTCAACTCCAGATTTTCCTTAACAATATATTCTGCATGCGTGTCTTATAATACTCTTCAAAAAATTGCTATTTCTGTAATTCACCAATCTTCCTTTCCAATGATAGTATATGTTCGATTTTACGGCCAAGAGCTTCCAGAGTGTACATGATGTATTTCAGCTGGTGTTGGTGTCCTTCGTCGGCCAATACAATACAGA